CCCCAAAACCCCAAAACCCCAAAACCCCAAAACCCCAAAACCCCAAAACCCCAAGCCTAAATTCAGGATTGACAACTACTCTAAAATCCCTAAATCTCAAAATTCAATTTCTCTCTTAAAATCACTTCTTCACACTAGAATCGCACAGTTCATGAAATTTAGTTGGGCCCTGTAGTTAAAGCTCTGAACTAGTAATCCAGAGAAGAAACGAGTGCTGAATTTGGACCTCGTAGTGGAAATTTAAGCTAATTTTTAGCCTTCAAAGCAGGGGATTAGAAATAGTAGAGGTGGAAAGTGGGTTGTGGAAGTGAATGGTTAAATTTAACTTGATTTAAAATTATAAAGATTCAAGAAATTCATGATTGATCTGACCAGACTAGCTTATATTGGGACTGAAAAGGATCTAGAGAAAATTGATCCGCATGTAATAGATTTGAGAGATAGTGATGTGTACAATATTAGTTGCGCTAATAATAATTTTGATGCATATTTGCAAAAACTAACATAACTTGAATTATACCAAATTTAATCTATTATTTCTCTTATTCTTGTTTTAACACAGTTTTAGCTAGGTCTCTTTAATGCAAAATCCTACAGTATCAGATGAAGAAGTAGCTTCAGTATCAATACGAATACTTAAACATTTCAACATTTCAAGAAAGATTAAAAGCCTCCAAGCATGTTTAAAATACTTTAATGCCAACAGTGTTAATTAATTACTCTTCTTTAAAGGTTCATTCATGATCCTTTCAAAAGTCTTATTACTCTTGAACTTATCAACTGGCTCTTCCTTAACCTCTGGGGCTCCTTCTTCGATGATCTTGGTTATTCCATCATACCTCTCTCTTCTTTTGGCAAAGCTAAAGTTAGAGTACTGATTCATAGTCTCTAGCATGAACTCCAGTTGGAAATTACTCAATTGGGAGTTAGCTAGCTTATAAATTTTACTCTCGGAGAAGTCAATCGTCCTAGTTTTAAAAATGTTTCAAAGGATCTCATAATTAATATAATTTGGGTTCTTCGCAATAGCAAATACATTGTTCTGCGATGTATAGTACTTCAACCAGAAGTAAAACGGCTGGGATAAGAGCTCACATCTGAAGGGGTACTTCTCTGGGAACAGCATTCCTCTCAAAGGAACGTACTCCCTCCCTTGTGGTGGATTAAGAAGAGATTTTATCAGAAATGTATCTTCAAGATTGTCGTTCCTCAGCTTTCTCATGAACCTATTCTTGTACACAAAGGTGGCCTCAGTGCCAGTGGGGTCGATTAATATTTGGTGAATCATCCTATTAGTTTTTCCACTATATCTGCCACATCTGTAAATCACTGTGAATAGGGCGATGAACATCACTGGAAGCATAATTGGGTAAGATTTATAGAACGGGTTCTTCTTAATCAAGTATATAAGCCCTACAATAGGAATTATGTATCTCAAATATAGTAGAAACATAGTATAAGTTCTCTGACGGTGATAATAAAGTAAATAATATCCATTCTCTAACAAAATAACTGGCTCATGAACAGGTTTGTATGAATTGACATCAATAGGCTTCACAAACTTTGTCTTTGAAGTATCAAGCCTAGATCTGACTGTAGAGTTCTTCTCCAGAGCTATAAAGTTCCTTTGAGGATCATTAATCAATTGCTTAACCTTAGGCTTGTCCAGAGAACTCTTATTATTCATCACTGAGTAACTAAATTTCCCACTTAGAGGGAGTAACTTATGGCCTTTCAAGTACTTTGATGGCATTGGTGGCCTCTTAGATATCTCCTGGGAGATTCTCCTTGTAAACATCATCATTATTGGTCTAATGGCGAATTCTTACGGATGAGATTAATTATATAAATCAATATTAGCTTTTGGAGCTGGGGTTTTGGGGTTTTGGGGTTTTGGGGTTTTGGGG